TATTCCAAAAGAATATTGACAGATTGCCCTCGAAGAAGTAACAATAAAATATAACATGATCTCGAAATAGCACATTATAATTCCCATAATATTCTAGTTAAAATTTTACTTGCTCTCGAAGAGTATAATAATATAAGATTTAACATAAATTATATTTTTACTCCTAAAGAAATAATTCTTACATAATTTATTACTCTAAACAATAATACATTATTACGTTTAAAGAGTATGATATTATTGTTATTCTGGAATGAAATATGATTCACACATTTAAATATTCTTGAATAATATTGTAAAATTGTTTGAATCAATTAATACAAATTAATTATTCTAAAAAGAATATGTGTTGCTTTGAGAACAACACGGTTTTATATTTATTATTATTCTTAAAGAGGATTACATGGTTATTTTTTTTAAGAATATCAATTTAGACATTTTAACGTAAATATTGTATTAATCATGAAGAATTTTAATTTTAATTAAATTGCTTCTAAAGAAGTGATAGAATATTTATAGAGAATATTGTTTTGAGACTTCAGAAGAGTTAATATTTTTGTGATATGAAGAGATAAACTTACATTTGCTAATAATTTATCATCCACTAAATAAAAAGGAATTCAACAAAGTTTTAATAGTATCTCTTCATTGATACATTATACTAAACTTTAGCGACCATTTTGATAAATATTGTTTTGAACCAGAAGTTCAAGAACTCTTATTTTTTTATTGTTTGACATAGCCGGTTAGATAATTACTGGATTAATAATGATGTGAAATAAAAATTCAAATGGACATTCACCAAAGAATTAGATGATTCTTTAATCCAATCAATTCCAATTTGTTATAACTTATTTGTTCTCTTAATTGAAAATGAATAATTAATTATCACTAGCTAAAATAGGAAACGAATTTCCTATATTTTTGAAACTTAATTAGGGTGATATATATGGGGCCCGTAATCCTCTACGTTGACCATCTAGGTATTATTTATATATAATATATTTGATATATGCACTAGATGATTGTATGTGTTCGTAAAATGAAGTTTCTGAAATTACTGTTCCAATTTTAAATTGTGAGCATAATTTTCGAAATGTCGATAAATGGGTTAACACTATTGCTTTTTAAACACCTCCAATTAATTTATTTGAGAAAATGCTACTACGCATCTTGCATTAATGTTCTCCATCTTATAATTAGTTTATAGTCAGAGTCTAATTTTTTCCATCTAATTTTGATAGTGTGATATATGTAAAATTGATCCATCGTAATGCACTGAGATTGAAAGTAAAGAATGCTGAAAATAAATGCATAGTTTGAACCTTTATCCTAAATTGGTGATATTTTATGACGCTCGAAAAATAATTGTCAATTTGATTGGATAATTCTCTCAGCATTAAGAAACTAAAAATAATGTACACATACACCATCAACTAAATTCTCGCAAAAGATTATCCGAATTAGAAGTTCGAAAGATAATTCATTTAGATACATTTACTGACCAAAAAGATCAATTTATATCTCACACGTCAGCTTTAAATATTTCTACTTAAATTAACGTCCTAGAAGATGATTAGTTAATATTATATTTAATGGCACATATAAACCATGATGATATTCGATTCTAATATAAAATCTCCAAAGAAAAATTGAGCATATTAGAAAGATGGTCTCATTTAGAAGGTGTTTGCTTCTGGAATGTATTTAGACATAATAAATTATAAATCCCAGAAAAGGTTTAGATACTCAATATATAGAAAATTGAGATATCTCAATAAGTTATGTCATTATATTAAAGAAAAAGAATCGAAAAAGAAAAAGTTGTTGAAAATACTTTTGCACATAATTTTCTGTATTATATAGCGAGGAATTGAAATAAATGCGATGAAATATATTGATTGAAGTAATGATTAACCAATTAAAATGGACGTAATCTTAAATTAAATTTATTAGAAAACCCTAAAGCTTTGGACCTATAGTCTGAAAATCTAAATATATATACCTATGCGAAAAGGAAGTGAGAAAAATGAAATCGTAATATGTAGTGCACGACTCTCAACATAATAAATTTTGAAAAGATTATGGTGGATGAAATCATGAGTCCATATTATGTTATCTTAATGAGGTATAAAATTTGATGTACATTATAGTCAACTCATCTAGCATGACTATCTTTGGAGGGTTTAATGTGCCCGAAACATAATTCAAGTAACATTATTGTAAGGGGATAAATACGCATTGTATACTTTTTCATTTGACTGAGATTTTGTCCCATTTAATTTTTGCGGTAAGGTTTTTTATGAGACAACATTTGTGACAAATTCAAAAGAATAAATGTATTATTTTTCCTTCATTAGAGTTTTTCGTGCAGGTTTGCTCTCAATAAGGTTTTAACGAGGTGGTATTCTTTGTGTGATGAATGTTAATAATATGCAAGATATTTACCTTCAAAATAATACTCTTATATATATGAGATTCCTTAAGAGATCAACAAGAACTATTTTTCGAATTATCAGGTGTATCACAGTCATTAAAGATCGTTAAATATGAAGACAGTGTTATTTAAAGACATTGATCTACAAAATATCAATATTAAAGGCATTAACATACAAGACATTGATCGCTTGATAGGAGAATTGAAATAAAGGGGAGTATCTGTACTCCTTTTCCTTCGATCAATTTTTGGCCAATTGAGTTTTCTTGACAATGTTTTAATGAGGCTACATTTTATTACTTCAAATTATTTTTGCTTTTTTTTTTTTCAATTGTTGGAATTTTTGTCTAATTGAGTTTTTGACAAACAAGATTTCAATGAGACAATTATTATGTAAATAGTTATTCAATGAGGAGTATTATAAATATAGTAATATTTATGAATGACTTTTATACCTTTATAACCTTAATCATTAACACTGTTGTATATTTAGTTATTCCCTATAAATATAGGGTTTTGATTCTTAATAAAACACAGAATTCTACTTGCTTCTCCCTTTTGTTCTCTTTTTTTTTTTCTCTCTAGTTAATAAAAATATGGTTTATAAATAAAAATAGCAGTGGAATGTATTAGTGAGTCTTACAAAATGTGTGAATAATATAGATAGTAGTTATTAATTTGTGGTTGTAATTAGGGTTTCCAGCTACTCTACTTATAAACCATTTATCAATTTGTATCCGAAAAGAGGCTAAATTTAACAAGTCTTGCGTAGAAAAATAGCTAGCACGACATTCTTAACTTTCCTTTTTTTTTTTTTTAATGATTTTGTATCTAATTGAGTTGCTTATTGTAGAATTCTTAACTTATCAACTGTTCAATTAACAAAAAGGACTCGGTATGTCTAGGGCTTAGGCGTGGATTAGGTTGGGTCGATTTTGAACCCAACTTGATATCAAAACAGTTTAAATCATTTTACTGAATTGAGGTCCAAATCAACCCAATTTGGTGCAAACATCAAATCAATCCAAAATCGATTCGATTCTTGTTGGCTTAGTTTGTATTATTGACTTGGTCTTAAGCCCTGTTTGATTCTCATTACTTGAAAATAAAAATGAGGGGAACAGTATTTTTTAGAAAAATGAGTGGTTGAAAAAGAAGGAAAGTTTTCAATTTATGTGTAATATTATTTTATGGAAGATTGTGTGGTTGAAAATAGGAGACAGAAAAATGAAATGTAATAAAATTTAATTTAATGGGGATCAAACATGGGCTAAGAAAGTATATATATTGAATTATCTAGACATTTAACGAGTTAGAATGTCAAATCTCAAGTTTGATAAGTAGTGATCGAGTATGTTTGTCAAATATCAAGTCTACTGTGAAATTATCGAGTTGATGTTAGGTAGTCAAGCAAATTCAAGTACCTCAAATATCGAATTAATTATGCAAATCTCGAGTTTGCATGTCAATTTGACCATGTAAACGTAAATGAACTAGCTAGGGTTGAATTAGAATGCAAGTACCAGAAAATTACATTTTTCTTTCTCCTGTATCAATTGTGTTATACTAGTATAATTTAGTTCTCTCTATGTGCAATGAGATTAGTTGTTAAGTATCGATTGAGTTCTCTCTATATGCAATGAGTTGACCCATTGCTTACATGCAATTTTTTCATGTATAATTTAGAAAAACATAAAAACTTGTCAAGCATGGATCTTTTGGCCATCAAACTAGGCTCATCTTTGATTTAGCTAAAAAAATTAGTAAAAATTTGAGTCATAATCAATAATTTATTTTAATCACACATTTATAAAATTTAAAACTGTTATTAATTTTTGAACCACATTTTTTTTAATCAATTTTTATTTCAATCTACTAAAAATTTTATTTCTAACAAAATCAAATAGGGGCTAGGAGTGGGCACTATTCACCCATGAAGAAAAATTGAACCAAATAGAAAAGTTAACAAGAATCCAACCGAAGCTACCCCTTTCAATTTGAACTTGTTCCATAAGGAGAATGAGAGATTTTACATTAAGCCTTTGAGCCCACTTTTAAGTCAAAATGTATTTTTAAAAGGTGATTTAATCCTATTTCAATCTCACATTTTTTAATAAAATAATATTATATGTAAACTCAATTTTTTTCTTTTTTTTTAACTACACATTATCCATCATAATACTATTACAAAATACATTTTTTGAAAAGAAAAATGGGGCTCAAACCTGCCCTATATATATGAATTAAAGTCTACAAACGACTAAACCAAAAACTTTAAAGTTTGGTACATTTTGTGTTTTTCAATTTCGGGTACTAGAATTCGAGCATTGAAATAATCCAACCAATTCTCGATTCCAGAAACGAAAATCAATTTAGATTTAAAACTTTCGAATAAGCTAGCTTAACCCAATTCCAACTAGTTCAAACCGTTACTTTGTCCACCCTAATTTAAACAAATTCCCTATATGATATGAATTAAAATTTAACTTAAAAATTATTTAATTTAAATAAATTTATTAAAATTTGATTTTTAGTCAGATCAAACGGGGGATTGTTACATTTTTCTCTAACCAGGTTTTCATAGTTCGAAAAGGATGGAACAAGACATGTTATGAACGAATGGCACTACAATTGGTAACGCTTAAATCCCAGCGCCAATACCTATTATCACCAATAAAAAACAGCTCTCTTTACCTTCACAAAACCAATTCTGTATATTTTCCCTCAATATCAAGATTAACGATGGCAGTAGCAGTTTCAGTGCCGGGAGGATCGTGGGAGGAGCGAATACCCCCCAACGTCCTCCGCCGAAAGCGTGACTCCACCTGGAGAGGCGGCTTCAGCCTGGGGGTAGACCTGGGATTATCCCGCACTGGCCTTGCCATAAGCAAAGGCTTCTCCATTCGTCCCTTAACGGTATCCACACACACTTTCTATTGCGATTTTTTTGATATATATGGATAATAATTTTTGTATTAAACAGCCAGTGAGATGGTGGTTCTTTTGAGAGGGTCAATAGAAATGTTTATGTTATATTTATGTATATTGAGATGCGTTTGAGGTATCGTATTAGGTTTTGGAATTAAGAGGGCAGAAGCTAGAGCTAAGGCTTCTTGATATTGCTGAAAAGCAGGCAAGATATGATTTTGATGTTCTGTATTTTTTAATTTTGAATTTGTCAAAGATATTTTGAATAATGTATTTGGCAATAATTTTTTTGGAGTTTTAGGAAGTTGATGAGTTTATAATTGGGCTTCCTAAATCTAGTGATGGAAAGGAAACAACACAATCAAATAAAGTTCGCAGTGTTGCTGGAAGGTTTGCTGTTCAGGCTGCTAAGAGGTAACTCGTCGATTTTCTTTGCTATTCTCTTGATTTTGAGTTTAATACCTTAATGCAGCATCATGTGATCGCTGGCGGTCGACATTATTGTTGGGGAGAAAACGTGTGGTTCGAGTTTGGCTGACAAATAATGGAATTGAGAAAACACAGCTAAAAATGGACACAGTTATTTATGTGGTTCACCCAATTTAGGCTACGTCCATGGGCAAGTATAGGAGAATTTTTCGATAGTAGGAGAATTACAACACACTCTCTAAATATAAGGAGATAACAACAATTAATCTCTCTTGTAATTAGGAGAAAACAAGTAGGAAATACTCTCTTAATTTTCTCTCTACTCAATTTGTTTTTTTACAAATTTTTTTCCTCTCTACATGCACGCTTTCTCTTCAGCATCTTGCCCCTATTTATAGAAAATTTCCACCGCCATTTTCCTTGAAAATGTCCAGAAAATCAGTTGGACATTTGGCTGGAACTTGCTAGATTTCCACCGCCTTAATTTGCTCGGAAGAGTCAAACAAAATGGCTGCAAATTAGGCTGTAAACGGGCTGGAGCAAAGCTGAAATCCACCGCCTCAATGTGAAGGAAAGTGGCTGGAACTCTACAGGTTTGGTTGGATCAAAGTTGGACAAGAAGAGTTCAATTTGCCTACTTCTTTTTTCATGCATGCATGTATCTTTCTTGCCTGGCAATTAAGCAAGTGGCTTATCCTTTTATGGTCAATAAAAGTGTCTTTACTATTCAACATTTCTCCCACTTAAAAGTCACTTTTGTTGACCACTCCAATCCTTTTCACACTTGCCATTTCCATGCTACTTACGTTTCTGCAAGGCCAATGGAAGATCGACACCATATAAACTTGTCAGTTCTGATTGGTTTTGTCAACATATCAGCTAGGTTGTCCGCTGTATGGATTTTCTGTATATCCACACTTCCTTCCTCCACCTTTTCCCACACTTCCTTCCTCCACCTTTTCTCGAACAAATTGATATTGAACTCGAATATGTTTTGTCCTCTGATGAAATGCTGGATTCTTTGCCAAATGCAAAGCGCTCTGACTATCACAAAATAGAGCAATCTTCTCTTGTTTGTGTCCGAGCTCGTCCATTAACATTTGCAACCAGATTGCCTCTTTGTTAGCTTGTGTAGCTGCCACATATTTTGCCTCCGTCGTGGAAGTAGCCACAATAGATTGCAGTTTTGAAACCCAGCTTACAGCTCCTCCAGCAAGAGTAAACACATATCCTATGGTCGACTTGCTTTTATCAATATCACCTGCATAATTTGAATCAACATAGCTTCTGATAATAAAATCTGATCCTTCATAACATAATGTAGCATTTGAGGTACCCTTGACATATCTCAGGATCCTCTTTATAGTATTCCAATGCTCTTTACCAGGATTTGCCATGTATCGACTGATCGCTCCCACTGCTTGTGCAATGTCTGGTCTTGTACAGATTATAGCAAACATCAAACTACCCACTGCTGATGCATACGGCACTCGAGACATCTCCATCCTCTCTGCTTCGCTGCTAGGGCTCATACTTGAGGATAACTTGAAATTAATAGGAAGAGGGGTAGAAATTGGCTTACAATCTTGCATATTGAAGTGACGCAAGATTTTCTTCAAGAAGTTTTTCTGACTAAGCCAAAATTTTCTATTATTTCTATCTCAGTAAATTTGCATCCCTAGAATCTTGTTTGCCGGTCCCAAATCCTTCATATCAAACTCCCTAGCCAATTGAGCTTTCAGATTTTGAATACGATCTTTGTTGGGGCCTGCTACCAACATGTCGTCAACATACAATAGCAAGATAATGAAATCATTACCATCAAATCTCATGTAGTAAGCACACGGATCTGAACAGAGTCTGTCGTATCCAAGGCTCATGATGAAGGAATCAAATCTCTTATACCAACATCACGGCGCCTGTTTGAGACCGTATAGAGATTTGTTCAACCTGCAAACCAAGTTCTCTTTTTCTTTTTCTTTAAAACCTTCTGGTCGGAGTATATAAATTTTTTCTTCAAGTTCTCCATGAAGAAATGCAGTTTTCACATCTAACTGCTCCAGGTGTAAGTCAAATGTAGCACACACCGCCAGGACTGCTCGAACTGTTGTGAGATGAACCACAGGAGAAAATATTTCGTTGAAGTCAATGCCTTCTTTCTGAGCATATCCTTTCACCACCAGTCTCGCAAGATACCGCTCCACTTGATCATTGCCATCTCATTTGATCTTATAGACCCATTTATTTCCAATGGCCTTCCTTCCTTGTGGTAGCGAAACAAGATCCCATGTCTTGTTCTTATAAAGAGCTTCAATTTCTTCTTGCATTGCTGCCATTCACAGAGAAACTTCTTGGCTATTTATAGCCTCAAGGAAAGTTGATGGCTCTCCATCTTGTGTCAGTAAGTAGTATGCAACATTGCCCTCTATTATGTAATCTGAGTGCCAAGCCGGTTCTTTTCTCTCTCGAGTTGATCGTCGAACATCTGGAGCACTAGATTCAGCTTGTTCTTCGTGCTCTAGTGTTGCTTCAGAAGTATCTATAACTTCTCGTTCGTCTCCAACTTCGACTGTAGTAGTCTTTGATTTTTCTTTTGAAGTGCTATCATTTTCTTTTTCCTGCATTTTGCCTTCCGCAAATATGACATCTCTGTCGATTATCACCTTGTGAGCAGTGGGATCCCACAGGCGGTACCTCTTCACTTCATCAGCATACCCTAAGAAAATACATTTTCTGAATTTTGGATCCAGCTTTGATATTTCTTGGGTATTGTACATAACGTACACAAGACTTCCAAACACATGTAAGAGAGAATAATCAGCTGGTTTACCAGTTCACATTTCCATAAGCGTCTTCAGATCAATTACGGTTGATGGCGACCGATTGATCACATAACAGGCGATTTTGACTGCTTCTGCGCAAAATGACTTGGCTAACCCCGCAGTCCTCAACATTGCCTTTGTTCTTTCTAACAATGTTCTGTTCATCCGCTTTGCCACTCCATTTTGCTGTGGAGTGTATGCCACAGTGAACTGTCTCTTGATACCTTCTTGTTGACAGAAGTTATCAAATTCATCACCAGTATATTCACCTCCATTGTCAGTCCTCAAACACTTAATCTTCTTTTCAGATTCAAGCTCCACACGCGCTTTGAATATTTTGAAGACTGCGAATTGGATACACCCAACATCTCCTAGAGTAATCATCAATAAAAGATACAAAGTATCTTGCACCTCCTAGGGATACAACCGGTGCTTGCCAACATCGGAATGGACCAGCTCCAAAATAGCTTTACTTCTAGCAGTGGAACTGCTGAATTTCAATCTGTGCTACTTACTAGTAACACAATGCTCATAAAAGGGTAATGAAACCTTTTTGAGCCCTGGAAGAAGTTTTTGTTCTGAGAGAATTTTCAAACTACGTTCCGACATGTGAGCAAGCTTGCGATGTCACATCATCGTTAATTCTTCTGTTGAACTTGTCAATGCGACAAATGCTTCTCCTTCTTGTAGTGTCTCTCCTTTAAGCATGTACAAATTTGCAGCTATCTTTTTCGCTTTCATCACCACAAGCGCGCCTTTAACTATTTTCATGATCCCATCTTGTATATGGGTCTTGCATCCAATGCTGTCCAATTGTCCTAGAGACAATAAATTTTTCTTTAGGCCTTTTACGTGCCGTACTTCTTGGATAGTGCAAACTGTACCATCATACATTTTTAATTTGATGGTACCAATACCAGCGATCTCCAAGGTATGATCATTTTCCATAAACACAGATTTTCTTGGGATAGTCTCATATTGATAAAACCATTCCCTTATTGGTGTCATGTGCCATGTAGCTCCTGAATCCATAAGCCAAACATCAGAAAATTTCTTTCTGCCTTCAACAACTGTTGTTGTCTTGCTGCATAAATTTTCACCATCTTCTAAAGTACTTGCTACACAATCTCAGGACCTTTTTCTTTAGATTCTTCATTCTTCTTGAGACTCCAACAATCTTCTTTTAAGTGCCCTTTCTTGCCACAGTAATGACACTAGGCATTTTTCTTACTCCTGGATTTTGATCTACTTTGATTATGACTCCCACTAGAGCCACGTTCCGTTGATCACCCTCTCATTATCGTTAAAGCTTCTGCCTGATTCGAACTTGTCAATCTATCCTCCTTGTTCTTGCGCCTACTTTCCTTTTCAAGAACAGCAGCTGCAATATCATCGAAAACTAGAGTTTCAAGGTTGTTGGTCAAGTTGATGATGAGTTGGTCATACGAATCTGGTAGACTTTGAAGTAAGATTTCAGCATGTTCACCAGTCTCTATATTATGCTCCATTGATGTGAGTTGTGAAAATAGAGTATTGAGGGTGTTGATGTGGTCTGTCATCGAAGTTGACTCCATCATCCTAAGGGTGTAAAGCTTTCTCTTTAAGAAGATTTTGTTGTGTAACGATTTGGCCTCGTATAGCTTTGTCAGCGTATCCCATATCTCTTTGGCTGTCTTTTTCTCCGCCACACTTGACAATACTCCATCGGCTAGTGCAAGGTGCAGATTAGCAACTGCGTTGCTATCCATCTCGTTCCACTTAGTATCGTCAATGATTTTCATAGGCCTTTGTCCAATTACCGCCAAGCAGTTATCTTTTCTCAATATTGCTTTTATTCTCATTTTCCATAACGAGAAATTGTTCACGTTGAACTTTTCAATTTCATATTTTGTCGTCATTTTTCACCAATACTATGATTGAACAACGACCCTATACAGAACCTTACTCTGATACCACTGTTGGGGAGAAAACGTGTGGGCTTGAGAAAACACAGTTAAAAATGGAAACAGGTATTTACGTGGTTCACCCAATTTAGATTACGTCCACGGGCAAGTATAGGAGGATTTTTCTATAGTAGGAGAATTACAACACATTTTCTAAATACAAGGAGATAACAACAATTAATCTCTCTTTTAATTAGGAGAAAACAAGTAGAAAATACTCTCTTAATTTTCTCTCTACTTATTGTCCAACTTTGATCCAACCAAATCTGTAGAGTTCCAGCCACTTTCCTTGACATTGAGGCGGTGGATTTCAGTTTTGCTCCAGTCCGTTTACAGCCTAATTTGCAGCCATTTTGTTTGACTTTTCCAAGCAAATTAAGGCGGTGGAAATCTAGCAAATTCCAGCCAAATGTCCAACTGATTTTCTGGACATTTCCGAGAAAAATGGCGGTGAAAATTTTCTATAACTAAGGGCAAGAGGCTGAAGAGAAAGGGTGCATGTAGAGAGGAAAAAAATTTGTAAAAAAACAAATTGAGTAGAGAGAAAATTAAGAGAGTATTTCCTACTTGTTTTTTCATGCATGCATGTATCTTTCTTGCTTGGCAATTAAGAAAGTGGCTTATCCTTTTATGGTCAATAAAAGTGTCTTTACTATTCAACAATTATTTCATTTGATTTGTTTCAATTATCTGAAGTAAGCGCATCAAATACACACTGCTATGAGAGACGTGCATAAATTTGAACAGATGCATATGCACAAAGGCCCGATGACCAAATTTAATAATGTTGGTGTTTGTGCTATGTGTTTTCACAAATTTTCTTTTTACTGTAAATGAGAATCGAGAAGTAAGCACTTAAAGATGGGATGGAATCTATTTCGGTGATATTTGAGGAAAAGGAAGAGAAAAGCCTATCTAGTTGAGACACATTTTTGCAGCTCATTTAGTTCATTATCAACCACCATAAGCTTATCTTGTGAAATGTTGTTTGATGTTAAATCAATTATTAGATGAGGGATAGTTTACCAAAGTTTTTGGTTACCGTAGTTGTTAACTTGAGATTTTACTATCTTCTACCAAATACTCTGCTGCTTTATGAACTTAGTAGTTCTGTTTTTCTTGTACTTCGACCATAGCCTGTGTAAGGTGGCCTTCAAGACAACAAATAAATGACTATTAACGTTTTGAATAGTATTTCCTGTTATAAAAGAAAACAGAATATGGATCAAGACTTTTTTAATTGTGTGTAGTCTGTCCCTTCCGGTCATTAAGTATTCTTACGAGCTGCAGCTTGCAGCCACTGTAGCATGATCTATGCTGGAGTTTACCAAATATTTAAGTTTATATAATAAACTCATTGAATAAAATCACTAGGACTGTAATCATTATTGTGCTGTAAACATGGGGAGATTTCATATGGTAACTTATTTGGCCAATGTTGGTATTTGTGTTTATGATTGAATTGACTATTTGGATCATTTATTGTTACGTGGACCATTGAACTCAATTCTACAGCAGGGGATGGAGAGTATACCTGCAGGATGAGCACGGGACATCGAGTGAAGCTATGGACTATATTTTATCCATGTAATGATCTCTACTGTTGCACCTTGATATCTGTTGTTAGTCTGTTCCATTTACATTTTTACAAGCATGATTCTTGCAAGTATATCCTTATCTTCTCCTTTTGTGAAAGGATGCACTTTGCCAAGCTTCTAACGTATATCTCTCGACAATCTCGGTGATTGAATGATGTGTTATCTCTTCCTCTCTCTTCTCTTCTTTATTTTATTTAGTTCTCTCTCTCTCTTTCTCTCCCCCTCTCCCTTTATTTTATTATTATTATTTTTTTTTCCGGGTGGGGGGGGAGGGGGGTTGGTTGATGTTGAAGGACCATTTCTTATGCTCTAGTTGATGTTTCATCCCCCCATGCTTCCGATGAATTGACATTTTAATTAAAAACTCCTTTTTAGAAGAAAGAGAAGGGCCAAATTTAAGTTTCGGTAGCTTTCTGGCTCTATTAGGATTTTAGCATCAGATACTTGGCTCCAGTAGAATAGCATCATTTCTTAGAACCAAAATGTCTTTTGCTTTCTCATATAATTCGTTGCAAGATATGAGATTCTGACATTTTAATACAGGAAGGGCTTTTGGAATTCTTAGATAACAAGTTATCTTGAGACCAAGTTCTTGATTAAATTTTTTGAAATTGACCATTCTCTTGAACTTATTTTCCAACGTATTCTTGATAAATTTAGATTGAATACATTATTTTCATTTTTCTTTATTTGTTATTTTTTAGTTTGACATTATCTTCTTTGTCACTTATCTATTGAAAGATCGAATGGAAATTATTATTATTATTATTATTATTATTATTATTATTATTATTATTATTATTATTATTATTATTATTATTATTATTTCATCTGTTGTTAGTGGAGGATAAGTCCATTAATGAAAATGATTAGTCTTCTCAGTAAAATCTTTGAATAAAAAATGGTACTAGATCAACACAGGGCTAGAGCTCATGTCCACACGTCTTGTGAATGCTGCATCTGTTGTTATACCTTGTCAATATAAACAATTATGTCAACAGTTTCTGTTTTGTAGTAATCTAAAGTTTGTTGAACTCATCATTTGAAAATTTTCAGGGCTCTCAGTAAATCTGTTCGTCAAGGGAGAATTGATGCCTACGCTGCTATGGTGAGCAATAATCAAAATCATTTTTTTCTATACTTATTTGGCTATAAATTCATATTTACAAATTATGGCACTACTTGCTGTCATTTTTTTTTTTTTTTTTGCATTATTTATAGATATAGACACACGTGGGTACAAATTCCGTGTATTGTGTTTATTTCAGTACACGCTTACTTTGAGTGAAAGTAATATTTTCTTATTTACTTTGGCACCGCAAAAGATATAACTATGATAGCTTGTGGATTTGTATGTGATGTCTTTCTCCATTTCTCTTAATTTCAGAAGGTGCTCGAAAGATATTTTTCGCATTCAGGACAAGGTATTGAACTCGTATTACCCAAGCAGGTGGAACTCCAAAACAAGCTTTGTCAAGGTCCACCAAAGGATGTCGATTTTTTCCCAGAAGAATCTGCTGGTTGATATGTTCTGGCACAAATTTTATTGGAGGACCTCCACGAGTATTGGAATCTGTTCATAATACCAAGACCCTATTTGTTTATCATTCTTTTCTCATTAAAATGAAAAATATGATCGTTATTCATCACATCAAGCCACCAAATTTAAATTTCTATCTCTTGTGTGAGACCCATAACGGTTATATTTTTCATTCTCATTCTTATAAAAATGAGAAACAAACGGGCTACAAAATAATTTGTATTACGTGTTTGATAAGTGTTGTGTGATTATTGATCAATGGTTTGTTTGACTTGTATCAACATAGACTGTGTGCCTTGTGCAATAGTAGAATATGAAGATAATGTAAAAATAATATATGATAATAATTATTAGTATGTTCACATTAGTTGATTTAGACTCTGTTTGGAAAAAAATTATAAATTGATAGAAATTAGTGTTGTAAAATTGGATAGTACTTGTGGGTTAATTGAGTCCTTGTTTTGCCTCCATTCTCTTTCATTTTTTTCTCTTATTTTCAACCATACAATATTTCATAAAATAATATTACATGAAAATTGAAAACTTTTCATTCTTTTTTAATCATACATTCTTCAAAAAGACACTATTTCAAACATTAAAATTTGAAAAAAAAGGAAAGCCAAACGGGGGTTGAAATGTATGTTTGAAAATGAAATTTGAGTTACGTATAAATTTGCCAAACGCAGGCTTGATATTTTAAATTTTCAGTAAGAACAACAGAGCTACATTTGGCTTTTTCATGTCTGACCAAATCCTTAAATAATGCGATGTTTTTTATACCAATTCAAGGATGTAGAGATCACTGTAGATTTTCTATGGAGAAGCTTGAAGGTGTTATTTATTGTCTGAATGTTTGAAAAGATACTGCATATAATGTCACAAGGCAAAATTCTAGTTGGGTTGGTTTGGTTTAGATGCACATTATATTGTGAACCATGAAAAGGGTGCGTAATCGCATGGATAAGTAGATGTTAACTAGTCAATTTGAGATCCAATTTAATATTAATTTTTTAATTGAAAAGTGTCAATAGTGAATTTGAAATATAATAAGATTGGTTCATACGAATGAAAGGTTATTTTTACTGATTTAAACACGAATCTATAGGATAGGGAAATTCCAATCGAAATGATTTTGTACCACCCTTGGTTTTATGAGAAGATGGATTAATTTTCAAAGAATCAAACATGGGAGACTTGAGGGATGATATAAAGGGAAAGAATTGAGAATTATAAGTTAAAATGGGGAACAGCCACTATGTAAATATTAAGGAAAATGCTCCTCTGCCAGAAAAATGGCTGACATAGGGCTTGACACCCTCTCACAATTGTCAGGGTCCGCGTAAATGACAATTGGGAGGAAGAAGTGGTCCCACCCCAAAATGTGTGTGTAGGTCAGCTCTTCTATCATGTATTTTCTGGCATAGGAACATGGTCCAAATATTAAATACAAGTTATTCCATACATTTCACAGCCAAAGTGTCACATCATAGCAATTAAACTGCTGACTCTTCCATTCTAGGTTTGGGGAAAACCATTTGTATAGAGCTCCATAAGAGACACATGAGGTCGGCTCCACGCGGGACCCATGGGTGATAAAAAATTGTAAAAAAAAAAATGTCGACCTCTTGCCTTGTGTGTTGTCTGTGGGGCTTTTGTGAATTGTGATGCCCTGTTCTATACACATAGTGGGGTTTTTTAGTATTCCTATTATTATGAGAAAAACAGAAAAGTACAATTATTGAGCTCAATAAAATCTAGAGGATTACGGGCTTGTTTGGCATGGCTATTGAGAAGCCAAAGAGGCTTGCCCAGGAGCTGTTTTAGGATGTGTTTGGTTAATTTTACAAAAGTACTTCTAGTTAGAAAGAGTTTTTAGGGGAGTTGACTAGTGCGACTTCGTTTAAAAGCTCGAAAAGAAAGAAAGCTTTTTTTTATAAATCAGTTTCCAAACAATAATTAAAGTAGCCTTCTCAAAAAAGTTTTTCGTTGTCAAGTAAAAGTCATGCCAAATAAATCACTAAACACAATATAGTACCATAAAAGTCTTTTTGAGCAATATTACTTGCATATGGGCCCTGGAATGAAGAAATTTAAGAAGAAGAATAAAATGCTGTCAAATCAGACAACAAGCCGTTATTCCATACACTACACAACATCCCAACTTCAGACAACAACTATTAAGAGAAGTGTACACTCAACTTCACACGACTATTAAGAGAAGTGTACACAGTACACATGGTGTAAAAACGAAATAAACTGCACAAACCTTATATATAAAAGAAAGCCTAAATCTTTACTGCTCCCTTTATCGTCCTGATGAAGCTGTTTCTGGCCATTGCATGATCCTCACTGTAATCATCATCATCATCATCATCATCATCAAGCACTAATGGCTTTTTCCTCATGCAATCCACTCTCTTTTTCATACCTTCCAATATCAGAGATGGAGATGATGGAATTTGGCGAAATGATCTGAAACTCTCTGACCTCGAAAGCTCCTTTTCTTTTCCAACATTTCCTCGTCTCCCATTCTTCTCTTCAATACTACTAGTTTTCCCAACTTTTTTGCCATGAGAAACCGATTCATTAACTTTACTTCTCTCCAGTCCGATCTTGTATGATGGATTCTTTAATGGAGTGTTTTCATTGCTAGTATTAGCAACTTCACTCTTTTTCTCATCTTCTTTTTTGTTATTCAGCTTTGATTTTCTTGCTTCTATTTCAGCAATCTCTTCTGGTTTCTGACTGTTTTCCTGAATTGGATTCAAACTCTCCGATTCCTTGACTCTTGAAACTTCGATCTTCTTGTCTGGATATATGAGGTTCAGCTTCCGGATTAATTTGTCAGTCTCACTAGGTTCATTTTCATTAGCTTTCTGAGCCTTTGACCAGGTATCTTCTCCTGTATTCTCCAACAACAATTGAAGCCACTTCTCTATGTTTCCTTTCCCGCGTTCCTTTCTACTCTCCTCATCCTCTTTTCCATCCGGTTCACAGTGAATTGGGAATCGAATGGTGTACATTATTCCTCCCTCTATTACCTCCAAATTCTCAAGTCCTTCCTCGATCGGTTTATTGTCTGGTGTTGCATTCATGGCTTCATTACATTTCTGAGGCTTCACTATTCGTATTTTGTTATCAATTTCTTGCTCTTGTTCGTCCTTCAGTTGTAAACTTGCTGATGAAGCCCTTTGCTCCTCCTCCAAGAATTCCCAGAGCTCCTTATGTAAAGGGACCCTGGACTCGGTTCCCGGCAAGTAAAGAAGGGTCTTATCATCTTTTCTTGTTAACGAAGTATTGTTTATTTCCATCCGCATTCGTGCCTTTGGCTCATTTCCTGGCAAATTCAGGACAGTCTTATTGTCTTTCTCTTCGTCTGTGGTATCGTCCATTCTTGATCTTTTCCGTACCTTTTCCCATTCAGGTCTTATTTGTTTCTCCAGTTCATCTTTTTGTTTATGTTTCATGTGAAGATCTCTCTCAGCCAAATCACAGATTGCTTTTTGAGCTTGAAGTCGAGCCAAAAGGGCACTGATTGCTGCTTGATTCAACCTCACTTGTTCTTTGTAGACAACACTCCTGCATTACGAAAACAAATCAAATAATTCAACTTGATCAAAAATTCATGTCGCATTTCAACTCATATAAGGTCCGGTAGTCTCATTGCCATCCATTTGTCAAAGTTGCAAGTCAAGCGTTTGATGGAAAATTAATCGATCCTACATGTGAAGGGGCTTGTTGAAGAAATAATTCAAATAAATAAATTTGTTCCATTTCTAACGAGTCTAAGCTTTTAGATGAGGTAATTAAACAATATGCAGTCAGTTTTTTAATGATCTTACTATTTGGAAGAATTACATCCACAGGCCAGCAAACATAGCATAAAAGAAAAGCACATAGAAGAGGGAAAATACAAATTTAAGTGGTTCGGCAAGATCAACGATATCAATGGGAGAGGGGGAATCGAATTCACTAATTAAAACTTCAAACTACACACTCTTTCCGCTCTCTCAACCTCTTTAGACAGCACAATACACCAGTTCAACATCTTTTCCTTCTTTGATTTTTATATTCGAACTTAAGCTTTTATAAGAGGTGATTCAACGATATCTAGTTAGGTTTTAATGATCTTACTGGTGCATGGCATCTCGAATCATCTTCTCCAACACTGCTCTGTAGGAACATTGTGATTCAGCTAGTTGCCGACACTTTTCAGCTCGCCTTCTTCTCTTCATCAGCACCAACTCGAGGTCTTGGATGGTAATCTTCTCTTCCTCAGTCTTCTGGTGCAATTCATTGACTTCTTTATCTAATTTCTGTATTTCTGCCTCCATTTTCACTGTTTCTTCTCTCTGTTTCAAAGAATCTTGGGCCATAATGATAGGCTGATAAAAGTTAGTCGCCATGATTGGATCTTGATTTTCCTTCAATGGCTTCAGTTTCCTTGCAGCTGCCACAAGTGATTGAAGGCAGTAAAAGACATGTTTGGTAATATGGATTGTATAGTATTGGATGGGAATAAATACGAAAAGGAAAAAAAATCTTGTCCATTGTAATGTCAGAGTCTTCTCTGAATATTGCACACTAATATGCTCCAAAGGATGCAAACAATTGAAGCTTGTGGGATTTGCTAATGTCCCGTTCAAACGATGAACGAGTGGAGTCTTTGATAATGTGTACTGACCTATGATTGGGGTACTTGATCTTGGTCTTCGACATGCATCAAGTGGTTTCAATGGGCTTTCACAAGATTCCCTTCTTGACAAAACAACAGCAGCTGGAGCCAGACCCATTATTTCTTTTGATTCAGCGAAATGTTCAGGGAAAGTGTGGGAATCAAATGTCGCCCTCAGTTCTTCGTTTTCACCTTCAGAAAACAACCATGAATATGCCCTGTGCCTGGCAAACATATTCCAGTACATAATCGCCATAATGTACCAGAAAGAAGATGCTAAAATTAGAGAGGAAAGTTTCAGAATCTTGGATTGAATTACACTGTCTTGATTGCCATTTGCAAAGTAGGAAATAAAGAATCCTTGGAAAATTCTATCAAGGAAAAACCTTTTAACAAAGACAGCTCTTAGTTGACAGATTATGATTGAAACCATCAAAATAGCTGCTGTTACTGTCATAAAAGCAATGAAAAACGAGTATAGCAAACACAGATTTGTAGTAGTTCCTCTTCAATGTAAGGGCCATAATAAACTGTTCATGTAATAAAAATATGAGTTCCAGCTGCGTTCAAAGGAAAAAAGTGACTATGATATGGCTCCTAGCAATT